GTCTGTGTATCTCCTTTTGTAACTAAATTCGGCCAACCATTTCTGGAAGAAAAAGGTATATTGCTAATGCATTTGTCATGCAATGACTAGAGCTACAATGCAGATAGCAAATTGTTTAATAACTGGCTATGTTATGGTTCATGGATGAAACCTAAAAATTACATTCCCATGCATAGCTGGAACATGCTTGCCTACTACAAATGTTGGTCTACCATTCTAAAAATACAGGTGTTAGTTGCACCCATGTTCTATTTCTTGAGAATGTAGTTCTAAACCTTTTGTAATTGTACTCCGATTAGAAGGCATGAATCACTTTCTGTTTTATGGTAGTGGTCATGTATTTATTTTTGAAGAACAAATCAGTTGTAATGCATTTTATATCTGTAGTGACACCACTGACTCAGAAGTGTTTGCTGTTATTTCTTTATGCCAATTTTAAATATGTGAAAGTTAGAGTTAATTACATAGGAATAAAAATGTTTATTAGTACATAAATTATTCATTAAAATGTATAACTTTTATTGTCATGTTATAAATTGCAACTTTTGTTTATGGTCATTGTCAAAATCACCCTGTGTATGGATGAAAATGCCATATTTAAAAAAATACTTAAATTATAAATGAAGCCTCTGTTTTGCAACAAGTTATAGTAATTTGCTGAAAACCACCAAAAATGATATAAAGATTAGCTTTTAGTAAATTTAGTTGTGGGAATGGGGAAAGCCTATTCTGGAAGGTTTATTGGGATCAGTTTATTGCTCATGCTGTTGCCATTGTTTTTAGCTTACTTAAGCTGTATTTTATTTGTATTTTTTTAGTTATGCTGTTTTAAGACTTGTTTTAATGTGCATATTGCTTTAGTTGTCTCAAGAAAATGACTGCAGTTTAAAATAAAATAATTTTGTCCATGTCAAATGAATAAATAGCATGCCTTGGCACCATCATAGAATAGTGAAATTGGAAGGGGCCTATGAGGCCATAAAGTCCAACCCCCACTTGATGCAAGAATACAAATTGAAGGCTATCTGCCAGGTGGTTGTCTAAATTTCTCTTGAGTGCCTCCAGTGTTGGAGCACTCACCCTCTCTCGAGGTACCGTAATTGGAGTTGTCTTACTGCCCTAACAGGCCGTTTTTCCTGATATTCAACCAAAATCTGGCTTCCTGTAACTTGAGCCCATTGTTGTGCGTCCTGCACCCTGGGATGATCAAGAACAGATCCTGCCCCTCCTCAGTATGATAGCCTTTCAAGTATTTGAAAAGTGTTATCATATCACCCCTCTGTCTTCTTTTCTCAAGGCTAAGCATGTCCAGTTCTTTCAGTCTTTCCTCATAGGACTTGGTTTCTAGTCCTCTGATTATCTTTATTGCCGCCCTCTGAACTTGTTGTGATTTGTCAGTATCCTTCTTGAAGTGTGGTGTCCAGAACACAGTACTCAAGGTGAGACCTAACCAGTGCTGAATAGAGGGGCATGTTGGTTTCAATTTTTAAAAGAAATGGTTGAGAATTGTTACCTTGTTAGAACTCATAGAAGTTGTTATGCATATGTTACAGAGCTATTGTGAAAACCATTCCAGTTAGGTAGTGCACTGGGAATTCTATTTGAAGCATACATATGTTTTAGTAGGAAGAGGGATAATTTTGGTGGAACATGTGCTCCTGGAGCCTTCTCTGGCATGTCTAGTCAAGTAGAAGATATCAAGATCTCTGTCTGAGGTCCTGGAGAGTTGTTGTGAATCAGCACTACTAGACCTAAATGGTCTGACTCAGTATTAGACAGTTTAATATATTCACTTATGTTTAAGCCATATAGCACGACTGGATAGACGTCAAAATAAAGAAGTAAATTTATTTAGTTAACTGCTCTTAAAATATATACTTGAAGGCTTTCATGACCGAGATCCAATGGCTGTTGTGGGTTTTCCAGGCTATTTGGCCCTGTTCTTAAGGTTTTTTTTCTTAACGTTTCGCCAGTCTCTGTGGCCAGCATCTTCAGAGGACAGGAAACATAACTCTGTCTGTGCTCTGTTGCAGTTTGTTGGATAGTTGAGTATTTGTAGCTGTGGAAACAGCTTTTGTCCTTTTCAGGAGATTGGGTGATTATGGTGATCAGCATGTTTTGTTGTGGGTGTATTGTTGTGATAAGGGGGAGAGATGATCTGTCACTGTGATTGATGGGTGTTGTTAGCTGGTCTTTTGTGTGCAGTGATCACTGGTCCTTGTGGCTGGGTAGAGTTTGTTGACCTTTTGCAGGCTGTTTTTTTAATGCTGGGAGCCAGGTTTTGTTGAGTTTTAAACTTTCTTCTTTTTTGTTGAACGACTCCTGGTGTTTGTGGAGTTCAATGGCTTCCCTGTGCAGTCTAACATAATGTTCTTAAAATATTGCTGTTTTTATTTGAAAACTCATTATCTTCTATATACTTAATATATTTATGAGGTCTGACTAATTAAAAGAAAGTATCTGGCAAAAGAAAATGTTTCACTAACCATATAAAAATATTCCAGACATTTTAGTTTCACTATACAGTATTCTGTTTATGAGGGCTAGTTTGGTGGTGTGGAAGAGTGATAGATTAAGAGTCAGCAGAAATAGCCTCGAATCCTCGCTCAACCTATTGGGGATGGTAATGATAACATTCTAGACATTTTAGTTTCACTATACAGTATTCTGTTTATGAGGGCTAGTTTGGTGGTGTGGAAGAGTGATAGATTAAGAGTCAGCAGAAATAGGCTCAAATCCTCGCTCAACCATGGGAACCTATTGGGGATGGTAATGATAACATTACTTAAACATCTCACATACCTCACACACATTTTCTGTTTATATCAATCTTAATGCCAGTTATTTATGAATAGAGCACTACATAATACATAAAAACAAAATGACAGCAGTAAAACACAGGATAAAATCTCCGAAGAAAAATCTTTTTGCTGGTTATCAAAAAGGTTGTTGTTTAGTCGTTAAGTCGTGTTCGACTCTTCATGACCCCTTATTTCATCTACATTCGCCCTCCCATTGAAATGAATGATAGAGTCTAGAGAACCTCTTCTAACCATAACCTTTTCTGAATCCGAACAGTTTGTGTGAACTGGGAGCTAATTAACACAGATGGAATGTTTTGATCAAACTTGGCATTGCTATAATCTGTAATTGCATGAAGCAGCACTGGTTTTTACTTCTGTGCCCTGAACATTTAACCAATGATAAAACCAAACTGTCACGTATTACAATAATTTATCACTAAGACTGAATTCAGACCACATGTTTATTACTACATAGCTGTATTGCTTAAGGTGAGGATGTGGTGTATGGAATGTTTTGATCAAACTTGGCATTGCTATAATCTGTAATTGCATGAAGCAGCACTGGTTTTTACTTCTGTGCCCTGAACATTTAACCAATGATAAAACCAAACTGTCACGTATTACAATAATTTATCACTAAGACTGAATTCAGACCACATGTTTATTACTACATAGCTGTATTGCTTAAGGTGAGGATGTGGTGTCGCTGTTGGCTAAACCGCAGAAGCCTGTGCTGCAGGGTCAGAAGACCAGCAGTTGTAAGATCGAATCCACATGACGGAGTGAGCTCCCCGTCGCTTTGTCCCAGCTCCTCGCCAACCTAGCAGTTCGAAAGCATGTAAATACGAGTAGATAAATAGGTACCATCTCAGTGGGAAGGTAAAACGGCGTTCCCTAGTCACGCTGGTCACATGACAACAGAAACTGTCTTCGGACAGGCAGTGGCTCTATGGCTTGAAAAGTGGAATGAGCGCCGCCCCCTAGAGTTGGACACGACTGGATTTTTTTAAAAAAATGTTAAGGGGAACCTTTACCTTTTATCTGTATTGCTTAATGGCGCTTTGCATGTGTAAAAGACCAAATGCATTGTATTTGTATTTGATTAAATACTGTTAAACAATTTTAATGTCACTCCTATTCCACATTAAACATTTTCATTTTATAAATCCAGGTAAAGTGTTGGATACAGAGTTGCACAGATCAGAAACAGTGTATGAGAGTTCAGTAGAAAAAGGAAGTATGGATAATAATGGCTGCTTTGTCCCCTTTGCCAGCAAGGAGGGTGCACTGGATCTCAATTCCCTCCATCAGTGCAAGGAGACTTTCTGTTTGTGGAAGGTCAACTCAGGTCCAACCCAAAGGAATTACATGATTACAATTAACCCACCTAGTAAAATGTTGAATTGATGCATTATAGATCCACTGGGACTATTATGTCACTCTTTAATCCTTTCAGGTTTTCTCAACACATTTTTAGCTATTTACAGTGGTGCCCCGCATAGCGAGGTTAATCCGTTGCGGATTAACCTTCGCTATGTGAAAACTTCGCTAAACGGAACGGGGAAGCCCAAACGGAAAACTTCGCTAAACGGAACGGGGAAGTTCCAAATGGGCACAAAACTCACCGTTTAGCGAAGTTTCCAGGGTCCGCCAGTCATTTTCATGCCCTCGTTAAGCGAGGGGAGAGCGCGAAAACACTGCGCGTGGCCATTTTGGGCGTCCGGCAGCCATTTTGAAACCGCCGAACAGCTGATCTGCGGGTGTCGCAAAGCGAAGATCGGTAAGCGAACCGCTTACCGATCTTCGCTATGTGAGTTTTGCCCACTGGAGTCGACACTATGCCTCCGCATTAGCGATCCCGAAAACGGGATCGCTATGCGGATTCGTCGTTATACGGTGCGCTCGTTAAGTGAGGCACCACTGTATTCCTTTTCATATTAATGCCTTTGTAAAAGTTTAAATTGTGATACCTTGAGGAATTTCTCTACTGTAAAATCCTTTCTTCTTTGTTGTTGGCCTCCTCACCTTTTTGTCACTATCATAAATCATAAGTCCTTGTTGAACTGGCTATTTCTGTTTTTCTTTACTTTTTACCATATAAATAAGAAATATAGCAAAATAATTGAATTGAAACAGGAAATTCTGGGAAAACTGTATTTTTAATAAGTCATGAAATTTTATTCATATTATCCTTAGGAAAGATGTCTGGTGATCGTGCTTTGAGGAAACAGCAACAGCTCAACAATCTGGTGGCATTAGTAATGCAGCTGGCTAAGCCTGGAGATATGATTGTGGATTTTTGCAGTGGTGGGGTAAAGTATTTTTTTATTTCACCTTGCAAGACAGAGGCAGGGATACTGGAACTTGAGCTCCTTTGAAAGTCTGTGTCCATATTTTGTTTCTCTTTGTGTGTGTGTGTGGGAGAGAGAGAGAGAGAGAAATCGATTATTTGTTTTCACCTTGCAAGACAGAGGCAGGGATACTGGAACTTGAGCTCCTTTGAAAGTCTGTGTCCATATTTTGTTTCTCTTTGTGTGGGGGGTGGGGAAGAGAGAGAGAGAACTTGATTATTTGCGTGAGATTTAAGATTTACAGCTGCATTTTTTTCTGGTTTGATCAGGGCCATGTGGGAATTGTTCTTGCTTATATCCTGCCAATGAGCCAGGTAAGACATCAATAATATGTAAATAGAGCCTTTGCTAATTAAGAACTTCAAATATGGAATTACATGCACATTACTAGATTTCAGTAACTCCATTATAAAACTCTAGAACAGTAGTTCCCAACCTTGAGTAACCAGATATTTTTGGACTGTGTGAGGTTTGTGCAAGCCCGCTCACTCCCAAGATGTTTCCTTCTTTCTCACATCAGCAGTCAGAGACTAAGATGTTATATCAACAGATTTATTCATGTTAACAAACACAGTACCGTATTTGCCAGCGTAAAAGATGGAGGCGTACAAGATGACTTTTTGGGCCCCAAAACATGCCTCCAAGTGGGGAAGTCATCTTGTACACCGGGCGCACTGAATGACGCGGGGCCGCACTGGCCGGGGAGGAAGGCAGGCAGGCAGGCAGTCGGTCTGGATGGAGGGAGAGAAGCACAGCCTGCCATGCCTGAGCGGCCAGAGCCCGCTGCCCCGCGCTGCTGAGCCAGCCACCCGCCCGTTTCCCCTCTTCCTCCTTCTCCTGTGGGGGGGGGTCATCTTATACGGCCGGTTGCCTTGTGCGCCGGCAAATATGGTAGCTCCTTCATTCTTTATCATAGTTGAACTCAACTCTTTTTGTTCTGAGTTATAATTCCAGCGCCTTGTGCGCCGGCAAATACGGTAGCTCCCTCATTCTTCATCATAGTTGAACTCGACTCTTTTTGTTCTGAGTTATAATTCCAATTCTTAACATCATCCACACTTGAAACATTCTCTTGAACTGAACTAAAAACCGGCATTAACAAGCCCTCCATAACATTCCAACTAGAAAATGGAATCACTTGTGAAAAACCCATCCCACATTGGGCTCCCATACTCTTTCGCCTGGATTCTGGAAGGTAACTGGGTCTTCCCAGAGCTGTTCCCACAGGAATTCAGGCATCTTTGTTTCTCCGAGTAATTGGCTTCTTGGGCAAATCATTCTCTTTCCTTCGTACAAGCCTCTCGCTCCGCAGTCTCTCCCCGGTATGGAGGTTTCCCCACTGGTTTCTTTCTCCACTCTTACTGAGCTTCTTCTTTCAATACTTTCAGAATTACCCATTCCCCAGTCCAAGGTTCTTCCTTAATAATTTGTACCCAATCCTCCTTGTCTTTTGGCTCCTCACCAACTGCCCAGCATTCCTCCACAGCCACTACTGCTCCCCTCCTCCACTTTCCCTCTTATCCCCCTCTTTTCTCACCAAAACTGCTACCTCCTCTGGTGGTTTGCTTTTCGGGCTCTCTGCTTCTTCTGTGGTTAAATTCCTATTGCCTATCATTCTTTTTTATTAACTCCTTCATGTCAGGTGTGATTATCCCCACTATCTCTGGAGAAGGAGATGGCATACCTCCTGTTTCTAATTCTGTCTTACAGACTGCAGCTCCCAGAAACCCTGGCCAGCATAGCTGGTGGTGAAGGCTTCTAGGAACTGCAGTCCAAAACATCTGAGTCACCCAAGGTTAGGAGCCACTGTTGTAGAATATTTTACAACCACCTATTCACATATTTTTCTGATTAAGGTAAAGTGCTTACATTATTTGTCATACTATTCCAATTAAGTAAAATATTAGTTCATATATTCAACAGTAAACTAGAGCTAATGGAAACTCTTTTAAAAAATCACAAAGCTAGAATCACATATGTCACCTTTTCGAATCTCACATTGAAACTAATAAATGTTTTACATGAAAAAGGAATTCTCCACCACTAAGTCTCAGTTTGTTTTAGCCTTTTTTTGTTTGTTTCATTCCAAGAAAGATGGTTAAAACATAGAGTTGCTTTTTTTCCAAATGTAGTTACACATGGAAGTCCCTCTAATTGTTTCTGTCTGCTGGCAAGCAAAGACCTTTTTCTTCAGATAACTTTTTGACACCTAGGTTGGGCTGTAGTGTGTGGGTTCTAAGTGGTTGGGTAGTTTTATTTCTATTGCTGATTTTTTAAAATTGTATTTTACAGACTTATCTTATGGCTGAATAATATTTGTTTTAATTTGAATTTTATTACTGTTAGCCATCTTAAGTGCTACTTTAAGGCAGGACACACATTTAATAAGAAACTAAAAGGCCTCTAATTTTAGCTATTGTTTCCTCATTTCATCAGAACCAGGAAACTAGTTGCCAGCTGCCAAACAAGCCGGGATCTTAAACAAAAGTTGAAGTAAAAATCTAATGCATATGCTGGCCAAGAAACAATAATATAATTATGCAAAACGTGGGGAGAGAATTTGGGCAAATCCAATTGTCTGTCCCAACTAAAGTAAACTCACTGAATCAGCAGAAAATTGGCAAGTGAACATGAATATAAGCTCCCTTAGGATCTGTTCCTGTTCTTGGAACTAACACTTGGATTTAGCTCTGTATGGTTAGGAGTTCAAAACAGCCAGGCAACTTTTAATCCTACTTTTTAAAAATCCTGAATCTTGTTGTAATTCTTGACATTTTACCCCAGTGCCCCTTATCTTAAATCCAGCACATATCCTATGTGAATTAATATTGAATTTTTGCTGCTTTGATTAGTTTCCCCTCTAATTAGCATCTTCTGAAAACTTTTGTGGCTCAGTAATATAGAAAATCATATATCTAAAATTGTGAGCAATCTTATTCCAACTTATTAAGAAGAAAACAAATTTAATTGGAAACCTCATAATGAGAAGTTGAGATCAGTAAATTCTGCTTTTCCTGTTCCTGAATGTAGAGGCTTTATGTGACAGTGCCCTAATGTAGGTACTGACTGATAAACAAACACAAGGAGTCTTCTGTGTGTCTACAGAGCAGCATGTAACTGTATTAAGACTTGGAAATTTGAGTCAATCATGCCCAGGCCTACAAGTGAACCTGAAAAGGTTGGCTGTCTTCCAGATGCTTTAAAATGAACTGTGGAGGTTTATATGCAAATTCCTGTGGGAAGTGCAGTGTGCACAGTTCTGAAAAACTGTATTAGCTAACCTTGATTATGAGAAATATCTTTATGGAAACTAGATGTGAGAGATCTTATGTGTGATAATTTACAAACATATTTGATGACTGGATGCAGATAGCATGGTTGGTATATACAGTATGACTATGCTGAGAGACTAGGAGTACCTCCAGAGGCACTCCTTGATTATGAGAAATATCTTTATGGAAACTAGATGTGAGAGATCTTATTTGTGATAATTTACAAACATATTTGATGACTGGATGCAGATAGCATGGTTGGTATATACAGTATGACTATGCTGGGAGACTAGGAGTACCTCCAGAGGCACTCCACAGAGTGTACCGCCCGTCTCCTCAAGCAAAGACACAGGAGAGTACCTGTCTGTCTTAGAGGAAGCTTTACAAGGGCTGTGTTTAAAGGAAGGGACAACAGAGGACACTGTTTTGCTGGGAAAGGAGAAGGAGATAAAGGGGGAGGAAGGAGGAGGAGCGAGGCAGTTGGGGATAGAAGATGAAGAAGCTTGTTGAGATCAGGAGGAAAGAAAAGAAGATGAAAAGACTGGGTGGAGATAGTACAGGAGGACCCCTGGACAGGGGAGTGGACCAAGTTCAAGGTCCTGAGAGAATATGCTGAGAGAGAGTGGAAAAGAAAGATTTATAGGAAGCCACCCTACTGGGGCAAAACCGAAGAGAGATAAAAGTGTAAAGAGTTCAAAGCCTGGCAGCAACATGAGGCCCAAAGAAGAGAACACCAACAATGTACCGAGAGTCCTGGGAAATCCTGTGGGGCCAGTCCATTTAGACCAAGGCTGAGACATAACCTAGGCAAGAAGGTATGGTAGCTGCAGGTGGCCTGGGTTTTCCACCCACCTCAATGACACCTGACAACAGTTTACCTGATAGGTCAGGCTTGACACCTAAATAGAGTTGCAAAGTTTTAAGTTCATCACCCTTGTCATTAAAAGGGGACTTGTTACAGTTTGGAGATGAAAAGAGTTATGGCTTGCCGTTGAAACATGAGACTGAAGCCTTTGTTAGTAATGAAGTTGATAAGTTGTCATACAATAAACATGTTTTATTAGAAGACCTTGGTGTACATGGCTCATCCTTCCAAGAGAACATGCCAGAAGGAGAAAAGGATGTTGCACAAGATCACAGTTGCACAGGAATCTGGGTTCTCAGAATTGTGACAAGTCGCTGTATTCCATTGCACTAGCATTAAAAGTTAGACTCCCCTTCTTTGCACTCATCTAGCAGTAGTCAAAGACATATTGCTGCCTCAATATCAAATTACAAATTCTATGACACATAGCAAGGTGGGTTTTTAATGTTTTTTTAAAGGGTGCACTGAAGCCTCTAAACAGCAGCAGTGCTTCACAATAGATTTTAAAAGCACACTCATTTTTTTTTATTTTCAACACATTCTTTCACTTGGAAATGAGTGAGGTTTGAGGCTAGTGGACAGGTCTGTTCCCACTGGCATGAACAAAATTTTGGGAGCTTGTGATTGAGTTCACTTGTAAAACTGAGCAGTTCCTCCTTTTTGGTGGGAAAGACCATGGGAGTCATGTTCTTATCAAACAAACTTTTATTAACAGCAGGGGTGGGAGAATCAACAATAACCTCTGTGGGCTCGACATAACCAGTTTCTAATGGAAACTCAGTCCATGGTAAAAGCAGTCCATAGTTCTGTTCTCCTTCTCTTAATGTGGAGAAGGTCCAAACTTCTCCTTGTCGGTGGGTTTTCTCATCAGACCGCTCCTCACGGTGCAAATGGTCCCACAGCATAGGTGACAGGCCCAATCTCCCCCTGAAAGTGACTGAGCTGGTGGAATCAGTTCTGGACGAACCACCTTCCTCCAGGGACCCTGTCCCTGCAGGTACACACAAACGGTCCATTCCAAAGGATCCAGATCTCCTACTTGGACTTCCTCATCCACGCACAGACCCAGTTTTTAATGTTTTTTTAAAGGGTGCACTGCAGCCTCTAAACAGCAGCGGTGCTTCACAATAGATTTTAAGAGCACTCAGATCTCCCATACAGCATCTCATGTCATAACATTATTTTGTCCTCTCCTCCTGCCTCAGACACATGAGGGGACAGCTCGCTTTCCACCTTCATTGTCAGCTCCGTCTTCACTTCACAGAGCTACAACTGCCAATAGAATTAGTTTTGATTAAAAGGTAGAATTGGGCAGAATTTACATTTGATAGTTGCTAGATTGATACATATCTAGTTATTTGTTAAAATTTGTTAATGTTTCTAGGCTATTGCCTCTTATATGAAGATTCTTCATCAAAACATTGACCACAAATAACCATCTTTTCTCAAATATAGGTAGTATTGGTGGAAAATAAAGAGCTGTCACTGGTTCGTGCTAAAGAGAGAAGTGATGAATTAGGGTTAAAAAACATTTGGTTCATTCAAGCAAATATGGACTATTTTAAAGGAAGCTTTAATATTGGGGTAAGTGATTCTCAAATTATCACTTCCCACCTTCCTCCAGGGACCCTGTCCCTGCAGGTACACACAAACGGTCCATTCCAAAGGATCCAGATCTCCTACTTGGACTTCCTCATCCACGCACAGACCCACAACCTCTCTCTCTCTCTCTTTTTTTTTAAAACTACTTCTTTGCCCGGTACATGAAACACATAAGGCCCCTCTTCTTCTTTCTTCTCCTCACATTCTGGACTGACCCGCTCCTCTGATCCCCAACTTCCTCTCTTTCATTTTTCCTCCCCCTCAGACATCAAGAAAACGTTTATCTCCTCCTTTACCTTTAACTCCTCCTCTTCCTGCACTCAGATCTCCCATACAGCATCTCATGTCATAACATTATTTTGTCCTCTCCTCCTGCCTCAGACACATGAGGGGACAGCTCGCTTCCTTCCTTCATTGTCAGCTCCGTCTTCACTTCACAGAGCTACAACTGCCAATAGAATTAGTTTTGATTAAAAGGTAGAATTGGGCAGAATTTACATTTGATAGTTGCTAGATTGATACATATCTAGTTATTTGTTAAAATTTGTTAATGTTTCTAGGCTATTGCCTCTTATATGAAGATTCTTCATCAAAACATTGACCACAAATAACCATCTTTTCTCAAATATAGGTAGTATTGGTGGAAAATAAAGAGCTGTCACTGGTTCGTGCTAAAGAGAGAAGTGATGAATTAGGGTTAAAAAACATTTGGTTCATTCAAGCAAATATGGACTATTTTAAAGGAAGCTTTAATATTGGGGTAAGTGATTCTCAAATTATCACTTCAGTATTTGCTTTGAAAAACCTTTGCTTCATAAAAGAGCAGGTTCAATCCAGATTTCAGTACATGCAATTTATTTATTTATATATTTATTTATTTATTTATTTATTTATTTA